GAGGGTTTCTGAAAGGCTGCTGAAACGGTGCCTTAAAAATGTGATGTGGACTGGCATGAGAAGGTTGTGTCATGCAGCGAAGGCAAAAGTAGTGCATTGTGCTGATACACATTGCTCTAATGAGTGGGTGAGGGTGGATGAGATAGTGAGGTGAAGGGGAGCCCCACAAGAAGAAGAGGTTTGCAATCATGGGCACATGGTTGCCTGACAAAAGAAACCAATCCCCAACCCCGTCCCATGGAACTGGGAACATCTTATAATTACTTATCTTTGGGGAGCACTAATCATCGGAGAGATTTAGCCTTCCAATCGCGGGGTTGAACATGGACCAAGTAACCATTGCTTCAACATGTTTCAACCAAGTCTTCGAAACTATTTGATGTGTATCCCGGGAATCGTAAGTGATTAACCATATTATCACTAAGGATATTCCACTGATCTAACTAGCTCACTTACTACCCTTGGGTAATGTATATAACATACTCGTAGCTGTTGAAATTGGGGCGCATGTATATAGTTCGAAACAGATCCCTATTCAAAATGGCTATCCTCCATAGCAAACAACAAATTTCTAGAATATATACCCACATTAATTTCCATGAGCACATAGTAAAACATCCTTAAATGCAAATAAATTCCTGAAAACCCCATTAGATTCTCTATGATTCTCTCGGCCCTCCACTGCCGAGGAAAAAATTGTCGCTCTAAGAAGATAGGTCAAACAACCAAAAAAAATATTCACGTTGTTCCGTTGTTCCAAACATCTGTATTTTTGTGAAAATCTCAGCACTACGCCCACGTACACAACACGAGGCATTTTGGAACTTTCAGAAACCCGACAACTAATTACCTAAACCGACGAGATTTCAGGATTTCCGGGTTTTTGTGAGGGTCTTTGCGTTTTTTTTTTGCGTTTTTTTTCCTTAGTCGTTCGAGGTGCTGCAAACATTTTGTGGCCTTTTCTCATGAAACCTAAAATTGAAGACCAAAGTCCTATCTAGGTGTTTGGGCTAAAATCAATCGATCAAAAATTTGGAGGGTCGAGTCGAGGTCTATTCAATTCACATTAAATCCAATGAATTCCCAATCCTTGAGAATGGAGGTCAACATATAGATCAAAAATCCGCAACCTTCCAGTTACTCGTACCTTTAGGACAGGTAATACCCCCCATTGGGGTACCTTTTTAAAATGAGGGGGCAGAAACCCCTTTTAAAATAAAAAAATAAAAATAAAATGAAAATAAAATGGGTCAGACCCCAGCATTTTTTTTTGTGGGTGCATTCTATTTTTTGAGGTGCCTAACCCATCAAGTTAACTGACAGAGATAGCATCATAGCAAAGATGCACAGCATGAGGATTGTTATTCTTACCCTTGGGCACCCCCATTTTTTTGTAGGATATATTCTTTCAATTTTCCAGACTAGGTCACTATAGTGCCTATATTGGGGGGTGGTTTGAGATGCCTGTTTTGGCTTGTCAATACTTCCCACTTCCTGGTAGTTGGGGAAACAATCTATTCTGTACAGATCAGTTGGGTCTTGCCATTTTGGCGGTTTTCGGGTTTTCCTTCAAAGATGGTTAAAACCAATCAAAAAAGGAAACAGGACAAAACAAGATCAACCCAAAAGAAAATGCCGGAGCCCGAGGTCCAACAGTTGCAAAATGTAGGTCCAACAGTGGCCAGGTGGAGGGTGCCTGACGTCATTTTCTTTTTGTACCTGTCCATTGTGTTTTGCTTCGGTTTTCCTATCTTACCTTATGCCCTCTCATTTTATTGGCATTTTCTCCTTAGGCCCCTGCATTTTATTGTATTTTTTTAGGTGCCTCACCCCCCCCCCCTGGCAACAGACGAGGGTAGGTAATCACTTCAGTTGCATATATGACACAGGTAACCAAACATAGTTTCCGGAACCAAGGTTTGATGTATATTGGAACCGTGACAAAACAGGTCGGAACCGTGACGTTTAACGCATTGGAACCGTGAAAATATACCTTGGAACCGTTAGAAAATGAATGGAACCGTGATAAACCAGTTGCTTCCATTTGTGGTTCCTCACTGGCAGCCTGGTTCCTGTAAAAACCGTCGCCGAGTCCTAGTTACCTATAGGAAAGGTTACCAGGAAGATTAGGGAATAGCAATGTAGTCAAAATAATACATCTCTGTTAACGCTGATTTTTGGCGACATTTGTCGGAACCTGTCGGAAATGCATCGGATTTTGTCGGAAATCGAGGCAAAAATGCATTCATCCCTTGGAAGATGCGCATTCATGGCCGTATGTAGTTCAAAATCGTGACAAATCGTGACGAACAATGTTTTTGCATGTTTTTGATTGTTTTTGCCATTTAAAATTATATGACATTCGTCGAAATACCGTTACAAAACGTGATGAACCGTGATCTCTTCAGGATTGACCGTTCATCTTATATTAGCCCCTGTTACTTTTCGCTCGTGCTCACCGCATTTTACGGTAAAATGATGCAAACCCCAAATGTTGCCAAATTTTGACTGCTACGGACGTCAAATAATGTCTACGGAGCTCAAAAAACAATGTTTACGGCAAATGTCACCAAATAGATCCAACATTTGATTCACAGGGAATGATTAATAACCTATACCGTAGATATTTTCCCCTTGAAACCTCCATTTTATAGGGCATTTATATCAAACAATCCAATGAAAATTCCCGTGAAATCTGGCATTCCCATTTCCAGAGGGTGGGACGCACCGCGCCCGAGGACCGCATGCCCGGTGGAGTGGTGCAATTAATGCAGGCCGTTGAGGCAGCGCAGGCAGCCTGGCGCATGGACGCCCCCAGGCGAGGAAAACTGCGCAGGGTATTGGATTCCTATGAAACATTCGAAATCATAGGATTATGATGGGAAAAAATCGCGGGATTTCTTCCATCCAGTGTATACTATAATATACTATATATGCCATATAATATATATAATTATATTTATTATATATATATATTATAATATTTATTTATTTAAAAGGAGTAGGAGCTCTATGTGTTTTTTTCTGGAATCCACAGTGCCAAAACTTGAAGTACAGGTGCGTTCCTGCTGAAATTGCACATCATTTCACCAGATTTCACCAATGGCCGGGAGGCGCCACATGAAAGCTATGCCAGGTTACTAGGAACAAAGACATCCTGCGTGATCATTTGCTATCAGATTATAAGTAGGCAATATCTATATATATATATAATATATATATATAATATAATGTAGTATAATATAATATAATACAATATAATATAATATAGTAGTATAGTATAGTATAATATTATATAGTAAATATAATATGATATAGTATAATATCATATAATATAACATAATATAATATAATATAATATAGTATAGTATAGTATATATTAATAATATAATATAATATAATAAAATATACATATATATCAAAATAATAAGGTGTATATATATATAATTCTATATATATATAAATATAGATAGAGAGATAAAAGATATTGATAGGTTATACCATGATTTCATGACTCTTCAATCTATTATTTAGCGACCCCCATTTGATCTCACCATTCATGATGCTAGGGAAAATTAGCCCCACAATCATCTTAAATCATCTTAAATATGGTACGGGAAATAGACATAGTTCCCAGTTTCAAGATACGGTAGACATTGAATGGTTATCCCATGGCCTTTTTACTTCCAATGCCTCGGATGCGCTGGTCATCGTCAGAGGCCGCCACCAGCCATGGTCCCACCTGCCTTGGCCACTCCAACCATGAGAGGCCACCAATACTTCGCCATGACGGCTATGGCAAGTGAGGTCACAGATGACTAGATAATATTAGATATGGCAAGGGTAACTATCCCAAAATGGCTGACTTTTCAGGCTAGTGAATTGTCATATGTTTGACCATCTATCTATTACTCTCGTGTGTGTGTACATATAATACATATATGCGTATGTGCACAATACGTATGAGCAAACTGACGAACAAACAACCTCCTAGCTATTTTACACAGATTGTGTATGTTGTTGGGGGGAAACCGTAATGGAGAACATTCCCATTAGTGTAAGGTGTGTTTCCTCCGAAGTGCTTGTTCTATACTCGGGCCCTGCGTCCTTTCGGAATCCTGTTGGTGCCTTCCCATTCTGTTCCGATGCTTCTGTCAGCAGAGCAATTTGTTGGAAAACTGTTTCCCATATTTCTTCAAAAGACTGTGTTCCAAGGTAATGAGTCACCACTTGTAAGTGTGGTTGTACTAGTTGCAATGAAATCAAGATTCTGACTGGAAAAGTAAGGTGGCACAGCCGCAAGTCCACTTTGGAATTTGCGCTTGGCCCCCCAGCCCCAAGTACATGACTTAAGACCTCACCCCATTCTACCTATATATATATGTATATATATATATATGTATATATATATATGTATATATATATATATAGATGATAGCTAAGAACCATCCCATCAACAAATTACAATTATAACAAATAAACGGACAGCACAATTCCAACAATCCTTCACTCAATGATACTCAATCTGCATCTTCAAAAATATCGGGGAAAAAAACCTATCCAATATATTCCAATATACTGGTTAGTAAATATTCCTATTATGGTTTATGATCCATCCCATCAACAGATTCCACCAGCCGGCGCCAGGGATCCCTTTGGTGCCCACGGGTTTTCCCCACCCGGTGCCGCCCCATGTGCCGCTGCCGCCGCCAATGGCGCCCGTGGCCTTCGGGCCACCCGCTCCGGCGGCGATGCCGCCGCCGCACTTTCCGCCGCCGATGCCGGCACCGATGCACGCGACCCGGCAGCAGGATGCGGCAGTGAGGTTTGGGGGCTGCTGAACTTCAAGTTGTTAGATATGACAAGATATTATATATAAGAGTATAAGGGATGATAGGGTTTTTTAAAAACTTGGGGGATAAGTGGGAATCATTTTCGAAATGTCAGAATCGATTCAAGCAAAACGCTGACGTAATACTGTACAAACGAGATTTGGGTTTTCAGACTCATTTTTTTGTTGTCCGAAACCTCGTGGTTTTGAGCAAGAATTGTGATTGGAGCGGGAAGATTGAATATTTGGTAATTATAATTAGAGTCGGACATTCAAACATATCGAGAGATATTCAGACTGTTAAGTAAGCAACGGTTATTTGATCGATAGATATTTATTTATTTCGGACTTTGAAGTATGGGGGTGAACGAAGGCAACTATTCAGCGACAAGTGGTGCCTTTCAATGTGTTGATGGCAGCCGATTATGCTAGGTTGCAGGCCCCTGGGGTCAATCTTCTCTGGAATTCTTGTTGAACTTAACAAGTTTACAAGATTTCCACCTTTACTATCAAAGCCCGGACATATCCATATGTATATCAGAATATCCATATTATATATAATATCCATATTGTTTTTAATATATAATATTTATATATATATAATATAATATGTATATATATATATACATGCTAACATATATAATGTACAGACGTACATATTAATCATTATGTATCCATAATATCTCTTTATGGTTCCGATTCGCTTTGGTGGAAAGGTTCATGACGGATAGCCTCCGGAGCAAAATGGGCCATGGCTGCCGAGGTAGTCCTGCAAGGATTTCCTCCGCAAGGATTAGCGCAAGTGATCCCCCAAATGCTGGCGCCCGAGGCCGCTGCCTCCCGGTTGAATTTCGGAGAGAATTGGGCTAAGAAGTGAGATTTTAGAAGTACAATTAGATGTTCATTTGTATTCGAATTTGAATCTGTCACTGAAGACGGTTGGAACTTCTTGTGTTTTAATTCTACAGTATTTGATTCTATATATGTACTGTAATATATAGGATCAACCATACTTAACCTACAGTAAAAGAAACCAACTTAAATATCGAAACATGGAATCCAAAACATCAATTCCCATATTATATTATGTATATATATATTATATTCCTGTTGTTCTTGATTGAAATCCTCATTTTTGCCAAGCGTTTTTCATGATGGACTCCCCATGTTCCAAGATGTTGAGGTGCCGCCGCCTCCCCGTGGCGTTCCTGGCGGCACGCGACCACCAGAAACCTTGCCTTGGCGTGGCCTGGACAGTGGTTGGTCAGTTGGAACAGTGGTTGCCTCGTTTTTCCACCGATTTTTTCGGGGGGTTCAATTTTCAAACGGATAAGAAGATGATGGGAACACCTTTTCCGATGTGAAATCATGCGAATAGTTTTGCCATAATGGGAATATATATATATAAACCTATGTAAGACGGAACAGCATATCACAGTATTGAATAACCCCATCCCCCTGTATAATATAAGTCACCTAGAGGAAACTACGATAAAAAGCAAGAGATAGAATCACATAATTCTTCGGGGCCATAGAAAACAGGTCTTTGATACTAACGGGATGGGATTGGTGCCCCAACATCCAGGGTTCATCATACACATTGAAGTTGCCTTTTGATGGGTATACGCCAGTTCAGACACAGCCATATTTCTTTTGGTGGGGGTGGGGGGGGGCATACATAGGAGAAATTTACCAACCAGCGGCTAGAACATTTTTTTGTGGGGTATCTAAACTTGGAAGCGGATGGTTTCCTGCAATGGTGTCCCAAGTTTGACCGACGCAACATTATGGTTGTCACTTTGAACAACTAACAAACACAGATCTGTTTTTTTTGTGAAAGCACAACATTTGGTATGACTCTGTTGGGTGTTGGGGGGAAGAAACATTGCATTTTGGTCTCAGTCTAAGTCTTGTATGGAACACGTTGAGACAAAGGCTTTAAAAGTAGAAGGCCCTCCTGGGCTTTGATGGGAGACCATGTTTGTGATGCCTGAAAAATTGGATTCCTGATGCCAAGTTTAGGAAACCAGGACTTTACACAACAAATGGGTCGCTTAAATCATCGATCTCACCAAGGTGATTTACGACGCCTCCATTCCCATCTCACTGCATCTTGGTGGATGGTTGGGGGCGGCTCAGGAAAGCAACATACACAACAGATACAAACAAATACACATGTTTTGTACATGCTATCATATATATATATATATATGAGATATCATATGGTACATTTACATTTAATTGACACATGTTGTGTTCCTGGGTTGAATCATGGTGAAATAACCATGTGTTTCTTCCTAAGGGGTAGTGTTGGATCCATGTCATTCTCCATATGCCCTCCAGTAAATTAACATAGACCCTGTCAGATAGGGGTTGGAAGATTAGTTTCCACTAAAAAAAAATGTGATTTTCAGGGTTGAACTTTTAATTTTCCAGAGGGTACTTCTAATTTAGCTATATATACTTGTATATTGCAGATATATCTTAAGCTGATTGGTTGGCCTTTCTCCCCGTCAATTTTTAAATCTGAAAGAAGCGAGGTGGCCCTGGGCCGCTCGAGCGGTTACCGACCTGGCAATTTGCCTCCGGATGGTTTGGCGCCACAGGCGTCGGGATGGCAAGCCGGTGCCATTGGCACACTCCTTTTTTGAGGATTGTGTATGTATAATATATATATACCACCCATGTATATCCATTCATAACTATTTGCTATTTATACTGATTTTGGCAATGGTTTATGGCATAGGGTTTACCACGTTCATTTTTGTGGGGGGCATATGACGGGTATTTAAAGATCAGGGGGATGGGATGAATGTGGAGCTAAAGATTGAGTACTCTTGGGTTGCTTTGACGGCGGGGTTTTTATGGGTAGATACCCCCCTGGTTTCTAGGGAGGATTTCCAATATTTTCACAAGCGGTACCCTTTATGCAATCCAAGATTGTAGGCTATCAAAACAATGTCACATACGTTTCTCTATGTGTCCATCTATAATAGTATATGATATAATTATATATATATTAATTATGTGTGTATATGAAGTTGTATATATATATATACTTGTGTCTGCCATATGCAATGGGCACATGTAAACATATAGATATAGGCTAAGGGGAACCTTGTTAGAAGACGATCAAGAAATATTAACAATCATTTAAAAGTCATTGGCATTTTTTGAGTCGTATGAGGTATGTATATATATATTATACGGTACATATGATATGATACATACATATATATATATATATACATATATATATACATATATATATATATATACATACAATGTTTGGTGGCCCAGAGTTGCACCAATTTGCATCGACACGATCCCGGCATCCCTGTGACCATCATGGCGGCAGCCACTTCGTCTTGGGGGTTTGGAGGCGGCGCCAAAAGGACGTTGGTGATTGGTGGTTTCGACATCAAACATGTTGTTTTTTGGCTAAGAAGAAAACAGTTTGATCAACCGAGTTGGTATGGCAAAAAAACTGGAATGATCAAAAAACATGATATGATTTGGTATGATGATTTGAGCTGATCTGAGCTGATCTTTTGATGTTTTTGGACGGGTCGAAACCATTCGAAACGACCGGTCTTTCCTTTCAGTGGGCACGTGACAGCTGAGTTTCTGGCAGGCTACAAGTCAACAACAGGCAGCAGAGCACATTCCAAAGCTTTGTGCAAAGCAACCCAGCATGAGCAAGAGCTGCAAGCATTTCTTCTGTCTGTGGAGCGTCTCTTTGCGAAATGATAGGGAAAAGGTATTGTGTTGGGAGCTGTTCAAACAACCGAGAATTCGATATGTTATGTATGCATATTCATATATACGTACATGTACATATATGTGCATTATGTACTCGTATAAGTGTATATACATGTATATACTGATTATATATCATATATGTATTCAGACGTGTATATATGCATATGTACTTGTAAATAAGATGCCTTCAGACAGTAATTGGATAATTTGATATAATTTGTAAATCATGTTGGCAAGATCGACCATCACGTCTGTTTAATGTAGCGAAGTATATGTCGTAAGGCTGCATGCAAATGCCGGCTAGCAGTTTTGTATTGGAGGTTCATTTGTATGCACCTAGTTGCAGTTGTCTAACATGTAGAACATATGAAAATACATGGATTTAGGATGATTTAGGTACATCAACACCCTGTTAAATTTATCGGTAAAAACTGGTGTTTCATGAGCGGGTGCAAATTCAGGACCAACACATGTTGATAATGCATGGCATCAACCAACCACTTAAAATGAGATGGTCAACATGACTCAACATGCTTCAACAGCTGTTTGTTTTCCTTGGTTTGTAAACGCCTAGGGTGCTAGCGTCGAACATTTGATTCACCGCGATTTCCCATCGATAGATAGAGAGACAGAGAGCCAGATAGATTGATATATAGGTAGGTTTATGATGTAGATATTTAGATATACACATATTTCTTGAATACGTACAGATATTATAGATGTGTAGATGCATGGTTAGATACATAGGTGCATGGATACTTAGATTGCTAAGCAGACATGTCCAAAAGCAGTATGTATATATATATATAACAAATACGTTGGTGCACATAGCAAAGGGGGAGGCCTCCGTCACGTTTTGATTTCGAAGCGTCAACTATTCGATATATCCAGAAATCATAGTTATTGGCCAATATAGTTTGCCAGCTTAGCCATTATTTCCAATTATATTTCGGAATATGGATCATTTCCTTTGGGAATATGGATCGGGACACCCTTCGCGTGTAAATATTTAGATCCAAGAATCCAAGCCCAGCACCATAGAGAATGGAGCTGGTTACCTCAGAGATGTTCAGAGTATGGAGTTTCTCACCAGAATTATCCCTTCCTAATATGAAACAGCCCCTTAGAGATATTAGAAACCATGGTTTAGTAGGGAATTTCCACATAATTAGGACCATTTTATGGGGTGTTTAAGATTAGGGTGATGGGATTAATAGGTAAATGATGTGTATTTCATGGTTTCCAGAGCTCAGAGCGCAGCACTGGAAGGTGACGAGGAGGGCTTCGAGGCGATGATGGACCGGATCCGTAGGACGTGGCAGGCCAAATTGGAGGCGACCTGGGTCGGGTAGTTTTAGACTGTCACATGCTGTAAATGGGAATATATGGAAAGCCGGGACTATATGG